AGTGAGCACTTCTTCTTTGCCGAGATAATCCATCCACCTCACAGGTGTGGCATATCAAGATGCTGATTAGACAGGATGATTATTGCACAGATGTGCCTTAGGCTGGCCACAATAAAAGGTATTATATACTAAATTTTGTTCAGTGTAAATACATACATGATACATACATACATAATTCATATTACTCTTAGCAACAATAATAATAAATTAATGAAAATATATATTATCCTATATATAGTATATAGTATACTATACAATATAGCCAGTCAAAATTTCAACTTTGGGGGGCGCTATCGACTCGTGGGAGGCGGCGTAGGATAGGGGGCCTCGGGGTCTATCCCCGACCCGAGTTTGGGGGGCGCTATCCCCGGCCCCCGGGGGGCTATCGACTCGGGTCCAGTTTTTAGAAAATGCATCTATATACTAGTCCTTTAAATAAAACACTGTATGATCTTAAAAACCTATAGCCTAATGAAACATCAAGAACTCTTCACAGAAAAGAAAAATGGATCTTGGGAAGAAGAAGAAGGCTGCAGAGAAGCACTGAAGAACCTCTTAATACTTCTTAAGAGTAATTTCTGAGCTTCTTGTCAGGTTTAGGTTTTAAAAATTACAATTTCCTGTCAAAAATGAAACTCACCCCTTTTACCGCTCAGAGACCTGCTGATATTATACGATCCTGGTCCAATTTCAGACGTCGTGCCGCTTAATGTCAAATGTGTGAACCTGGGAGCTCGATCATACATGCTGATTAATTATTTATATTTTACAACGATGAAACGTGTGTAATTAACTAATGTAACATTGTGAGAGCAGTGAAGAGTCACTGCAGTCACTGGAGCGCGTCGCCGCGTTGCCTGGACGGCGGTGTTCATGAATATTAATTAGGTAAATGGAGACGTTCGTAAACTTCCTGAAGCCGCCAGTCACTTAACCTGCCTAATATTCATGAGCTAATTCGTTGCCTGGACACTGAAACGCAGTCACGGGTGGAAAAACACTAAACTATGTAGTGAAAAGTGTTCATTCTCTGCGTCTAACTTCATTCAAACCGCAATAAATAAACAAGCAAGCGAACATTTATTCATTTTTTTAACAAGGTTAAACACTATAATAATAATAATGATTAAGTAACGATAAACGATAACGATAAAAATGATGTTAATAAAACGAACATAACCACAACATAAACAAACACAATGACTGAATAAAACATCGCTTTTTTTCCATCATTTGTTAAACAAACAACATTGACTTATTTATAAACTTTAGCAAGTAATAAAGGACTAAATTTTTATAAATTTAGGCTTATATTACTTGCTAAAGTGTATAAAAATTATTAATATAACTTTATAAATATATTTTATAAATATATATTTATATTTATAAAACTATATAACATTTATAAATATATAAACTTTATAACTAATATAAGTTATATTTATTTAAAAAAAGTACAAACAAATGAGGAAAAACACAAGCAATGTAGGCCTATAGCCTAAATAAAGAAACGAAGAGCCTAATACAGTATTAGCGGCGTCACAGAAAAAGCCTAAAGCAGAAGTGAAATCACAAAACAAATGAGAAACTTGAGGAAATCATATCATTTTATCATTTAAAAAGTTCCATTAATTTATAGTTCCTCTCTAAAGTATTTTTACAGCCAAAATAAATTGAAATGTAAAGTTCTGACTGCTAAAGAAAAACACGAAATTTATAAATAAAGAAATCAATGTTATCAGCGTCACGATATTGAATTTCAACAGAAATTTCCTAACAGAAAAAATGCCCAAAGCAGAAGTGAAAGAACAAAACAAGAGAAACTAGACTAAATTATATTTATTATATTATTTTTTTTATTTTATAATTTAAAAAGTGTCATTGATTTATTATTATAGTTCCTCTAAAGTGTTTTATGGCCCAAATAAATAGACATGTAATGTTTTGGCTGCTAAAACGAGATGGTCCTCACTGCAGAACACAAGATCCAGGGGGCGTGGTTGGATCTAGATCCAACTCTTCCCACCTTACATATACCTAAACCTACCCGTCTCCATCCCCGGATCCCTAAACCCACCCGTCTCCATCCCCTGATCCCTAAACCCACCCATCTCCACCCCTAAACCTATCAATCTCCACCCCATCCAACCACGCTCCCTGGATCTTGTGTTCTGCAGTGAAGGGCTACTGTGGCTAAAACGAAAACTGCACTGTTCCTCCGCGCCGGTGTGTGGCGCAGCGGCGGCAGATCGCTGTACACGAACCTGAGCGAGGATCCCCGAAGAACCGTAAACAAAGAGATTCTGCAGAACAGGGTCACGGAACCACGGTTGCCGCTGCTAAAAACATCAGCTGTAAGTTGAAATACACTAAACACACTTTACGAATCACTTAATCTATTTCTGTACACTTTAATACAGTAACGAGAGCGCGGAGAACTCATTGTCGTGGCACTTTTGTTTGTTTATGTGTGTCCCGCAGTGAAAGTAGGACACGTTGTTGGTCGAGCATGCCCAGTAACACGGCTCAACTCCTGGAGTCAGACGATACTGAACCGGACCTCCCGGTACCGGTTCAGAACCTGAGCGGGATGAGCCTCCGGGATGAAGAGAGTCCATCAGAACTACATGATACTTCTCATCTGGGTGTCCTGGGTGCGGTTTTGGACCTCCAGCCCTTTTCCCAAACTGGATCAGAGGAGGAAAACACCACCAACACTAACAATAACAACATCATCCGACATGATGCTGATCTGGACCAGCTGAGGGCCATCACAGCCATGGAGGTCCCGGGGACCGGTGTGCTCTTCCTGGACGGGCCGGGCGAGTCCCAGGGCTATCAGGTTCAGGGGAGCATGATGATGGCGATGATGATGATGCAGGAGGGTGAGAGGTGTGCGCTCAATACCAGGAGGAAGAGCGTTAACACAACAGAGTGCGTGATGGTGCCCACATCTGAGCATGTGGCGGAAATAGTTAGTCGGCAGGGTGGGTTTGTTTGATTGCTAATGTGTCATGTTTGATATTCTAATATCGTGATTCATCGTGTCTCACTTTTCAACAGTGTTCAACAATAAGGAGGCCAGTTGGATTAGTGATTCATATTTGTACTCGCCCTGCTGATATTCTCACAGACCTCACCTCATGAAAAAAATAATTATATATATATATTATAAACATTTTAATATAATTTTACCTAAATATTTTGTTAGAAAATATATATTTTGTATTTACATTAAAATGCAAGTTTAGTTACCAGAAAGTTTTACATAAAAAAAAAAGAAAAGAAGTTATCTATCTTTTGTAGTAGCCTATATTTCAAAACCTGAATTAACTTTGAACCAGGGTTATTATAGTTAACTCAAACAGAAACTAAAACCATAAAAAAGCCCATTTCAGTACTTGAGCAAAAATAAATGTTAACTGAAAAAAAGTCAAATATAAAAAAACACGTATTTCAGTTGGCAAAATTTCTCATTTTATTTTAGTGTAAATAAAATAACTAACTAGATATACTAAAACTGAAATAAAAATTCATAAATTAGACAATAAAAATAGACATTGTCTAAATAAATAAAACAAAAACTACTAAAAATGGCACAAAAAAAAAAACAATTACTAAAACTTTAAAATAAAATGCAAAGTAGAAATAAAAACTAATTCAAAATATTTGATTTAGTTTTAAAAAAAGTTAAAAGACAAAACCTTATTTATTTTTAATATTAATAATAAGCCTGATCATTAGTCATAATTATTTGTAATGTGTGTGGGCCAATTTCTCAATATCAGCACATTCATAATGAAACCGTGATGAAAATGGTTTTAATAATATATGCTTGCACTGACCTCATTGAACTGCATGTGTCATGTACACTATAGACTACAGCTGCCCCACTTATCTGTAATGACGTGATGTTTCTTCACTGCACTGGATGAAAACAATTTGTGTAATACTAACACGTGAACTAACACACTGACAACCCCTGTTACCATATCAAGTCTGTTAGTATTGACCAATCAGCATCCAGGACTGCACTAATCACTCCTGAGAAGAGCTCACTTGTCTATGCCTGTGATTGATTGATAGATAGATAGATGTCTTCTTAAGCTAGCAAAGCGTTGAGTTGTCTTTGTATTTCGGTTCTCCTCAGGTTGCAAAATCAAAGCTCTGAGAGCAAAGACCAACACTTACATCAAAACCCCCGTGAGAGGAGAGGAGCCCGTGTTTGTAGTGACCGGCCGGAAGGAGGACGTCATCACGGCTAAGCGCGAGATTCTGTCCGCGGCTGAGCATTTTTCCCTCATCCGGGCGTCTCGGAACAAAGTGGCACCGACAAACAGCATTCCTTGCCATCCGGGACAGACCACCATCCAGGTTCGGGTGCCGTATCGAATGGTAGGGCTCGTGGTGGGGCCAAAAGGAGCGACTATCAAGAGGATCCAGCAGCAAACCCACACCTACATCGTCACGCCAAGCCGCGACAAAGAACCGGTGTTTGAAGTGACCGGGATGCCCGAGAATGTAGACCGAGCCCGAGAGGAGATCGAGTCTCATATTGTGACGCGTACCGCAGGAAGCGTGGACACCACTGTGGACGATGACGATTTCCACTATAACGGCACCGACGTTGGTTTCGAGTCGGGTGGCAACGGAGCCTGGCTCTTCTCCGGCGGCGTTTCAAACTTCCACAGCAACGCCGCAGGCTATCGCAACGACAGCTCCAGCTCGCTCGGAAGCAACTCTAGCGAGTCCTACTACAGCGGGAAAGGCAGCGCAGTGGCGGATCTCAGTCCCGGCAGCAGCGGAGGCACATTCTGGTTTGGCGATTCCCAGTTGCCTTTGGTATCCGAAGATCCTGCGGGATACGACGGGCTAACGATGACGGCGCCATCCGCCAATCCGTCATTGTGGAGCGCTTTCGAGCAGGGAGGAGCGAGTTTGCCCACTACGCCGAGGCTCTCTCCGTCCATTCTGGCCCGTCTGTCTCCGTCTCTTCCGGAGGATCATCCACTGGTTCGGTTAGTGCAGGAGAATTCCCAGAGCCTCCTGGCCTTTGGTTCCGCGTTTTCCCCATCTAGCGACAGCACAGGCTCCAGCTCTCCGCCGGACGTGCGCACTTACCCCAAACACAGCCAAGTTCCTGCGTGCGTACGCTGCGGAGACAACGTGGCGGCGCTTGTCCTGGGTGGGCAAAACCACGTTTGTTTGGAGTGTTCCAACTCCATCCTGCAAAACGCATAGAGAGAGGAAAAAAATTGGGATGGGGAGAAGTAAACTGGGTTAATTTTTTACATTGAAATACTTCTTCCTTATTACGTTGAAATAAGGTTTTTGATTAATAACCACCGTTGAGTTCATCTCAAAGATTTGCGTTTAGTTGTCGCGTCGTTCTTGCGGCGAGCGGTGCTGGGGTTTAGCAGTGCTAAATTGCCATCATTTGTGTTTTTTGTTGTTTTGTTTTCAAAGTATCGACTTGTTTGTTTACATTTCCATGTGCCTGATTCCATGAAGGTGGTGGTGTGGATTGGCGATGTGAGCGGTGCTGGGGTTTAGCAGTGCTAAATTGCCATCACTTGTGTTTTTTGTTTTCAAAGTATCGACTTGTTTGTTTACATTTCCATGTGCCTGATTCCATGAAGGTGGTGGTGTGGATTGGCGATGTTGCTGCGAAAGCATCTGTGGTCTTTAGTTTCTGTTTCACAACACTAGAGTCGAGCAGTACGCGATCATAAAGAGCCGTCCTGAACGCCACCTAAGGACCACTTTGAGCATCTCCGTACGCAATACGAAATTGAAGGGCATTGCATGTCCTCATTATAGGAATAGTTAAATAAAATTAGCTGAAAA